CTTTGTGTTTCCTCTTCAGCCCCTGTGTTGTGAATACCCCAGTACTGCATTAGTTGGGGCTTCGCTCTCTAATGAACCTGATAGCCTACTTTTATAGCAGGTGACTGTCCAAACAGATTTGTAGCCCGACATTCCCCCATTTCCAGCCTCCTGCCCTTTCTCTTCTTCCTCGTCAAGATCCCAAAGATTTCCTAGCCCCACGCTGACCTCTGTACCTTTACTGCCATTATGGCCTGCTTTGAAATTTCTTAGTCCTGTGATTCCTGTCTTTTGGGGTGTGGTTTCCCTTCATTCCCACATGTGCCCCGCTGACAAATGCCTTGTAAGAGATTTGTGATTCAGTGCTGCTGTTAAGGAGATTTCTACTCCTGTGCCTCGGGGGCCAAGTGAGAGTAAATATGTCCTCTGTGGTGTCTCCTTGCCTGGAGTAACTTTTGCCTTTCCAGTGAAAGCAGAGCTGTTTCATTTTATACTACCAGCTTTCCCTCAGCACAGGCCCTGACTGCTTCCTCCACGTGCCTACCCCATTCACGCAGGTTCAGCTAGATTAGAAGTTCAACCTGTTTATGAAGTTTGTCCAATGCCGTCTCTTCCTGGGAAATGGCTGATGTTGTTGGGTCAGAGTGTCTTTTGCTCATGATCTTTATCTTTCTTGCTATTTCAGCTTTGATATTAAGACTAAAACCATTTTTTAAAGCTGATTTTTTTCTTGAGTTTTGATATTTTTGCTTCCAAAGCTTCTGCTCTAGGGTTCTGTTCACTGACAAAATTTTAAAGGCTTTTTACTTGCTGATAACAATTTACCTTCATCTCCAGGTAAAATGATTCATGGAATCAGAGTGCTTTAGGCATTTTAAAAAGACATTTTAGGGCCGGCCCGGTGGCTTAGCAGTTAGGTGCACGTGCTCCGCTACTGGCGGCCTGGGTTCAGATCCCAGGCGCGCACAGACGCACCGCTTCTCCGGCCAAGCTGAGGCCGCGTCCCGCATACAGCAACTAGAAGGATGTGCAGCTATGACATACAACTATCTACTGGGGCTTTGGGGGGCTTTGGGGAAGAAAAAAAGGAGGAGGATTGGCAATAGATTTTAGCTCAGAGCCGTTCTTCCTCAGCAAAAAGAGGAGGATTAGCACGGATGTTAGCTCAGGGCTGATCTCCCTCACCAAAAAAAAAAACAAAACAAAAGATATTTTAAAAAACATCCTTTGTGGCTCTTGGGCTTTTGATAATTTCATTCAATTTTTTTCTCCACCTCAATTTAAGAAGATGATCCATCCTCACTGTAGTCAGGACCCGCCTGTTACTCTGTCTGTTCCTTTATAAACCCACCACACTGCCGAGGTTGAACTCACTCTCTTGGTGTTCCAAAGGCGTGACCATTATTAAGGCTTTGTTACATGTGGATCGCTCTGCTCTGGATGAGGACAAGACGCAGAACACAGAACTTAAAGGTAGTGGGCATGGTGCTGGCCTGCCGCTGATCCCAGAGCCCTCATTGGGCTTGCTGGGGCTCTGCCTGTTGGTGAAGGAGAAGGGAGACTGTCTGGCTCTAGAAAGGAGCACTGGCACCAGGTCTCCACTGCCAAGAGGCAGTGATCAAGATTGACAAGCTTTGCCCTTTCCAGGTGGAACTTTGCATCCCTAGTCCCAGTTGGCTGTGCATATACTCAAGTGTTAGAGAGAATGGGGTCCCGGGATCCTGAACCCCGTGCTACCATAGCTAGTCCACTGCTATGTCACCAAGGGAGATTTGTGCACAGGGGACAGGCCAGGCAAAGGAGGATTTCCTCCCTGGCTGGATCTTGGCCTCAAACCTCTTTGTGAACTCCAGAGCTCTGGTGTGCTGTGCTGGACTATAGGGGAGATTCTTGTGTTGGACTCAGTGACTTCCACTTCCCTGGACCCCTCTTATTCCTGCTTGGCTATGGAGGAGTGTGGGGGCATCTCTTCCCCGGGCTGAGATCCCAAGTCCTGTCCTTCCATACCAGCCACTGGGAAGAAAAGCCCCTTAGAGCAATCATTTCTGTATAGGTTCTGAGAGCTTTCACCCCAGGTCTGCTTGTAAAGAAAGCTCCACTTTGCAGCACTTACCTCGTGTCCTAGGATTTGACCTATGTGTGAGTACTTTTAGAACATCTATTTAGAGATCTGCTTCCCAGAAACTTTCTTTTACTAGTTTTCCTTTTTTCTCCCTTCTTGGCTTCCATGAAACTGTATTCTTCTAATTCTTGCTTTTCTAACTATTCTCTCTCTGCCTTTTCCTCACAACACTCCTGGCTGTAGATCTGGTATGAGTGAGGCCTTAGCGGTGTACATTTTAAAGATTAGTCTTTTACTTTCAAGTCTTGACACTAACTGTTGTTGCTTTTGTGAGATAGAGATCCAATGTTCTTTTTTTCCATATGGCTGGACAGTTGTCCCCGTTCTAAATCTGCATTTCCATTTGTTGGTACCTCCAAAAGCAGTTTTGGTTCAGTACATGTCAACCTTCTCTTCCTCTGGGATCTTTGCACCTAAATTCCCTCTTTCTGGAAAGCTCTTCTCTTTCTTTTTGGGCTAACAACTCCTGTTAATGCCTACCAAGCGAAGACCACTAAGAACACATCTGTAGTAAAAAGCATTAGGTGTGTCTAGCTTGCTGCTTCAAGAGAAACCATACTCCCTAGGACCTTGGGGCGTCTCAGTAAGAGTGAGTCAGAAGGAGTTTATAGAGGGGCTGGCATAACGGTTAAGTGCACGCGTTCCGCTGTGGCGGCCTGGGGTTCGCAGGTTTGGATCCCGAGTGTGGACCGACGACGCGCTGCTTGTCAAGCCATGCTGTGGTGGCGTCCCATATAAAGTAGAGGAAGATGGGCACAGATGTTAGCCAGGGCCAATCTTCCTCAGCAAAAAGAGGAAGATTGGCAACAGATATTATCTTAGGGCTAATCTTCCTCACACACACACACACACACACACACACAAAAAGGGGGCTTGTAGAATTTGGCTTTGTGCTGGGTGATTTTAAGAAGCGATTAGGGAAGCAGGGACCAGTTTTGGGATGGATACTGTCAAGGAGCGGGGCATTTCAGCATTTGGGTATCTTAGGAAGCAGGAGGTGGGAGGAGTGAGGTGAGGCTGAGGATCTCATTTGTGAGAAGCCCCATTCAGTCAAATAAAGGATCAGTATCATTTTATTTATTTATTTAAAGTTTTTTTTTTTTTTTTTTTGTGAGGAAGATCAGCCCTGAGCTAACAGCCAAGCCAATCCTCCTCTTTTTGCTGAGGAAGACTGGCCCTGAGCTAACATCTATTGCCAATCCTCCTCCTTTTTTTTTTTTTCCCTTTTTCTCCCCAAAGCCCCAGTAGATAGTTGTATGTCATAGCTGCACATCCTGCTAGTTGCTGTATGTGGGACGCGGCCTCAGCATGGCCCGACAAGCGGTGCATCTATTTATTTTTTTAATATGTATATATTTTTTTTTGTGAGGAAGATCAACCATGAGCTAACATCCATACCAATCCTCCTCTTTTTGCTGAGAAAGACTGGCCCTGGGCTAACATCCGTGCCCATCTTTCTCTACTTTATATGGGATGCCACCACAGCATGGCCTGACAAGCGGTGCCTCGGTGAGTGCCCGGGATCCGAACCCAGGGCTGCCAGCAGTGGAGCACTCCCACCCTGGGGCAGGCCCCAGGATCAGTATCATTTTAACAGCCTATATAGAAACATTGTTTCCATGGTCATGTCCAGGTCCTGTTGGAAACATTGTTCAGGTTTTGCTAGGAATATCCCAGTCTGATTGCTCGCAGGCAATCTTTTCTCACTTCTCATTCTTTGAATTAGATCTTGACTTAAATATTAGCTTCTCAGCGACCTGTTCTAACTGCTATTGCTTATTTCTTGCCCAGTATTTATTACAAATTGTAATTATTTAATTTATTGTCAATTTGCCTTTTTTTCTTCTCTACTGGAAAGTAAAATCCGTGAGGCAGAGACTACATTTCTTTTCTTCTCCGTTATACCCTTAGTGCCAAGTGTAGGTCAGGCACATCATAGGTGCTCAGGAAACACATCTGTATGAAAAAATGGATGAATAAAAGAAAATTCAAGGTTAATGGTCTGATTGCATTAGCAGTTCTGCCAGATACACTGCTAATCTCTAGTTAAAGTCAACTGAGAGTGTATCCTCCATGAGTAAGAGAAAGCTGGTATGAGTGTGACCTTGTGTATTTGTGCACACAACAGGGCCTTACTCATCTTCCTGGTTTTTTGTGATTCTATGTAATTTAAAAACTCAGGAAGGCAAAAATGAAATAAGATCTACCTAGGACTTTTTTACAACCTATTTTTATATATTATTTGATACATACTAAGAGTATATATGACACGTAGATTGTGAAGCATAATAATAAAATATATATCTCATTATATGTATCTTAAAATTGTATGTCATTGGAGTCTTAATTTGCATTTCCCTGATGACTAATGAAGTTGAGCATTTTTTCATGTTTTTATTGGCCATTTGTATTTCTTTTTGAAATACCTTTTTATATCATTGCCTTATTTTTCTGTTGGGCTGTCTTTTTCTATATTGTTGTGTTGGAGTTTATATTTTCTGGATAGAAATCCATTGTTATATGTGTTGCAAATATCTTCTCACATTAATGGTTTTCTTTTTTTTAAATGATGTCTTTGGACATGCAGAAGTTCTTAATTTTGATGTTTATTGTGTTAATTTGTAATGATTAGCATTTTCTACATCTATTTAAAAGGTCTTCTATTCTGAAATCATGACAAAATGAAAAGTTTTAAAGGTTTATCTTTCATATTTAAGTCTTTACTTGATCTGGAATTGATTTTTATATATGCTGTGAGATAATAATCCAGGTATTTTTCATATGGCTAGTCAGTTTTTCTGGTATCATTTATATGCCAAAGACTGACTTATATTTGCAGTTACAAGAACGGAAGAGATAATCTCATAATTGTTCCTTTTTAGATCATGTACTATTTCTATTTTACAGGTTCTTTTTGTAATTTTGAGTAAGCTTCCAGGAGACTATGAAAGATTATGATGAACTTCTCAAATACTATGAATTATATGAAACTATTGGAACAGGTAATTGTTATTTTTTTCTTGGAGGCAGAGGGTAGATCAGCTCTTGGAGAGTAGAGTGTATTTGGGCAGTCATGAGCTTTTTAGTCTAACCTAGGTAGTTTTAAAATTCTTAACCTACTTTAGTAAGAAACAGTGGAGCAAGAGAAAGGAGAGTAGTAGGAGAGGACTTGTAGGTCATTTTATTTAGAATAAAAGTCGCTGGAGGGTTTTGAGCCAAGGAGTGAACTGACCTTTGTTTTTAAGGGTCACTCTGGCTGCTTGGTTGTGAAAAGATTGGGTGGAGGAGGGCAAGGGCAGAAGCAGAGAGATGTGAGGAGGTTACTGCGATAATTCGGGGCAGTGATGCTGGAGATGATGGTGACTTGGATGAGAGCGATAGTAGTGAAGGTAGTGAATGGGTGGCATTCTATATACTACATACGTGTGTGTTTTAATTTATTTGAGGTATATCCCATAGTAAAATATATAGAGTGCACTAATCGTTTTTTTCTCTGTACTTTTTTTTATTGTGGTAAAATATATATAACATAAAATATATCATTTTAATAATTTTTTTATTTTATTGAGGTCATATAGGTTTATAACATTGTGTAATTTCAGCTGTATATTATTATTTATCACCTTCTGTATGGACTGCATTGTGCTCACTACCAATAGTCTAGTTTTTATCTGTTACCATACACATGTGCCCCATTTCATCCCTTTTACCCACCTCCCAACCCCCTTTCCCTCTGGTAACCACCGATCTTTCTCTTTATCCATGTGTTTGTTTATCTTCCACGCGTGAGTAAAATCATACAGTGTTTGTCTTTCTCTGTCTGGCTTATTTTGCTTATATAACACCGTCAAGATCCATCCATGTTGTTGCAAATGGGATGATATTGTCTTTTTTATGGCTGAGTAGTATTCCATTGTGTGTATGTATATATATATATATACCAAATCTCCTTTATCCATTCGTCAGTTGATGGGTACTTGGGTTTCTTCCACATCTTGGCTATTGTGAATAATGCTGCAATGAACATAGGGGTGCATAGATCTTTTTGTATTGTTGATTTCATGTTCTTTGGATAAATACAGTAGTTGAATAGCTGGATCACCTGGTATTTCTATTTTTAATTTTTTGAGAAATCTCCATACCGTTTTCTATAGTGGCTGCACCAGTTTGCATTCCCACCAGCAGTGCATGAGGGTTCCCTTTTCTCCACATCCTCTCCAACACTTATTATTTCTTGTGTTGTTAATTATAGCCATTCTGACAGGTGTGAGGTGATATCTCATTGTAGTTTTCATTTGCGTTTCCCTAATAATTAGTGATGTTGAATAATTTTCGTGTGCCTCTTGGCCATCTGTATATCTTCTTTGAAAAAATGTCTGTTCATATCTTCTGCCCATTTTTTGATTGAGTTGTTTGGTTTTTTGTTGTTGAGTTGCATGAGTTCTTTATGTATTTTGGAAATTAACGCCTGTCGGATATATGATTTGCAAATATTTTCTCCCAGTTGGTAGGTAGTCTTTTCATTTTATTCATGGTTTCCTTTGCCTTTCAGAAGCTTTTAGTCTGATGTAGTCCCATTTGTTTATTTTTTCTTTTGTTTCCCTTGCCTGGGTAGACATGGTATTCGAAAAGATGCTGCTAAGATCGATGTCAAAGAGTGTACTGCCTATGTTTTCTTCTAGGAGTTTTGTAGTTTCAAGTCTTACCTTCAAGTCTTTAATCTACTTTGAGTTAATTTTTGTGTATGGTGAAAGATAATGGTCTACTTTCATTCTTTTGCATGTGGCTGTCCAATTTTCCCAGCACCATTTATTGAAGAGACTTTCCTTTCTCTGTTTTATGTTCTTGGGTCCCTTGTCGAAGATTAGCTGTCTGTAGACATGTGGTTTTATTTCTGGGCTTTCAGTTTTGTTCCATTGATCTGTGTGTCTGTTTTTGTTCCAGTACCATGCTGTTTTGATTGCTATAGCTTTGTAGTATATTTTGAAGTCAGAAATTCTGATGCCTCCAACTTTGTTCTTTTCTTCTCAGGATTTCTTTGGCTATTTGGGGTTTTTTTCTTGTTCCATAACTTTTAGGATTCTTTGTTGTATTTCCATGAAGAATGTCATTGGGATTCTGATTGGGATTGCATTGAATCTGTAGATTGCTTTAGGTAGTATGGACATTTTAACTATATTTATTCTTCCTATCCACGTGCATGGAATATCTTTCCGTTTCTTTATATCTTCTTCAGTTTCTTTCAGTAATGTCTGATAGTTTTCAGTGTATAGGTCTTTCACCTCCTTGGTTAAATTTATTCCTAGATATTTTATTCTTTTTGTTACCGTTGTAAATGGGATTATATTCTTGACTTCTCTTTCTGTTAGTTCATTATTAGTGTATAGAAATGCAACTAATTTTTTTAGGTTGATTTTGTACCCTGCAACTTTGCTGTAGTTGCTGATTATGTCTAATAGCTTTCTTGTGGATTCTTTAGGGTTTTCTATATATAGAATCATGTCATCCTCAAATAGCGAAAGTTTTGCTTCTTCCTTTCCAATTTGGGTAACTTTTATTTATTTTTCTTGCCTAATTGCTCTGGCCAAAACCTCTAGTACTATGTTGAATAAGAGTGGCAAGAATGAACACCCTTGTCTTGTTCCTGTTCTCAGAGGGATGGCTTTCACTTTTTCCCCATTGAGTATGATGTTGGCTATGGGTTTGTCATATATGACCTTTATTATTATGTTGAGGTACTTTCCTTCTATACCCATTTTATTGAGAGTTTTTATCATAAGTGGATGTTGGATGTTGTCAAATGCATTCTCTGTGTCTATTGAGATGATCATGTGGTTTTTATTCCTTGTTTAGTTAATGTAGTGTATCACACTGATTTGTGGATATTGAACCATCCCTGTGTCCCTGGTATAAATCCCACTTGATCATGGTATATAATCCTTTTAATATATTGCTGTATTTGGTTTGCCAATGTTTTGTTGAGGATTTTTGCATCTATGTTTGTCATTGATATTGGCCTGTAGTTTTCCTTCTTTGTGTTGTTCTTGTGTGGTTTTTGGTATCAGGGTGATGTTGGCCTCGTAGAATGAGTTAGGATGCATCTCTTCCTTTTCAAGTTTTTGGAATAGTTTGAGAAGGATAGGTATTAACTCTTCTTTGAATGTTTGGTAGAATTCTCCAGAGAAGCCATCTAGTCTTGGACTTTTGTTTTTTGGGAGGGTTTTGATTACTGTTTCAATCTCTTTACTTGTTATTGGTCTATTCAGATTCTCTATTTCTTCTTGATTCAGTTTTGGGAGGTTGTATGAGTCTAAGAATTTATCCATTTCTTCTAGATTGGCTAATTGGTTGGCATATAGTTTTTCATATTCTCTTATAATCCTTTGTATTTTTGTGGTATCTTTTAATTTCTCCTCTTTTATTTCTAAGTTTATTTATTTGAGACTTTTCTCTTTTTTTCTCAGTGAGTCTGGCTTAGGGTTAGTCAATTTTGTTTATCTTCTCAAAGAACCAACTCTTTGTTTCATTGATCCTTTCTACTATTTTTTTGGTTTCAATTTCATTTATTTCTGCTCTAAGTTTTATTGTTTCCCTCCTTCTGCTGACTTTGGTCTTTGTTTGTTCTTCTTTTTCTAGTTCTGTTAGGTGTAGTTTAAGGTTACTTATTTGAGGTTTTTCTTCTTTATTGAGATGGGCCTGTATTGCTATAAATTTCCCTCTTAGGATTGCTTTTGCTGCATCCCATAAGAGTTGGTATGTTGTGTTTTCATTCTCATTTGTCTCCAGGTATTTTTTGATTTCTCCTTTGTTTTCTTCATTGATCCAGTGGTTGTTCAGTAGCATGTTGTTTAGTCTCCACATATTTGTGACTTTTCCAGACTTTTTCTTGTAGTCCATTTCTAGTTTTTATAACATTGTTGTTGGAAAAGATCCTTGATATGATTTCAATCTTGTTAGGTTTATTGAGGCTTGCCTTGTTTCCCAGCATCTGATCTATCTTTGAGAATGTTCCATGTGCATTTGAGAAGAATGTGTATTCTGCTGTTTTTGGATGGAATGTTCTACATATACCTATTAAGTCCCTCTGTCTAGTGTTTCATTTAAGGCTACTGTTTCCTTGTTGACTTTCTGTCTGGATGATCTATCCATTGCTGTAAGCGGGGTTTTGAGGTCCCCTGCTATTATTGTGTTGCTGTCAAATTTCTCCCTTTAGGTCAGTTAATACTTGCTTTATAAACTTTGGTGCTCTTGTGTTAGGTGCAGATATATTCGTAAGTGTTATGTCCTCTTAGTGGAATGTCCCTTTTACCATTATATACTGCCCCTCTTTGTCTCTCATTGTCTTTTTTATCTTGAAGTCTGCTTTGTCTGATCTAAGTATGGCAACACCTGCTTTCTTTCAATCCATTTGCATTTAGAGTGATTATTGACATATGAGGCTTAGTACTGTCATTTTATCTCTTGTTTTCTGGTTGTTCTAAATTTCCATTGTTTCTCTTCCCCTGTATTTCTGACTGCCATTTCAATTTGGTGGTTTATTTGTGATGGTTTTCTCAGTTTTCTCTTTATTTATAATTTGTGGCTCTGCTCTGATTTTTTGTTTAGTGGTTACCATGAGTTTGTATAAAAGACTTCATAGATGAGATAGTAGATAGTTTAGTGGTTACCATGAGTTTGTATAAAAGATCTTGTAGATGAGATTTTCTGATAGCCTCTTATCTCCATTAGCCTAAGCTGGTTCCATCCCTTTCCTCTTCCCCTGTCTGAGTTATTGTTGTCACAAATAGTTCTTTTCTGTGTTTTGAGTTTGTGACTAAATTGAATTGTTTATAGGTATTTTTTCTGCTTTCCTTCCCTTTGTCTTTTATGTTATAATTGTTTACTGACCTATTCTGATATAGAGCTGCAATTTTCTGATTCTATCTGTCTATCTCCTTGCTCAAGGTTTTGTAAACCTTTGCTTTTTATTTTCACATGGGAGGGCTCCTTTCAATGTTTCTTGTAAGGCAGGTCTAGTGGCGATGAACTCCTTCAGCTTTTGTTTATCTGGGAAAGCTTTTACTTCTTCATCGTTATCTGAACGATAGTTTCACCGGATAGAGAATCGATGGGTAAAGTTTTTGTCTTTCAGTATTTTAAGTATATTATTCCGTTCTCTCCTAGCCTGTACGGCTTCTGCTGAGAAATCTGCTGAAAGCCTGAAAGAGGTTCTTTTGTAGTTTATTTTCTTCTGCCTTGCTGCCCTTAATATTTTTTCTTTGTCATTGACTTTTGCCAGTTTTACTATTGTATGCCTTGGAGAAGGTCTTTTTGCATTGATGTAATTAGGAATACTATTGGCTTCATGTACTTGTAAGTCCAGTTCCTTCCCCAAGTTTGGGAAGTTCTCAGCTATTATGTCTTTGAACAAGCTCAGAGTGCGCTAATCTTGATGGAATTTTGCATACATGTACATCCATATGTTCCCTGCTCCAATCAGGACGTAGAACATTTCCAATCAATACCTGCCTCATTTCCCCAAGGTAACCATGATATATTTTGAAGACAGAGCCAATGGGATTTGTTGATGGGTTGGATATGGGATGTGAGACAAAAGGGAAGGGCTAAGGGTGACTCCTGGGTTTTTGGCCTGAGGACCTGGGAAAATGAAGTTTCCACTTACTGAGATGGAGAAGATCATGGGAGGGACTACCAGGAGCTTCTTTTTAGTGATGGTAAATTGGAGATTTCTTTTAGAGATCTAAGTGTAGATATTTACTCAGCTTGTGATTCAGTTTTGAAACATAATTGCTTATCGTCACAGTTTTAAAACTGAATGGAAGTTTCATATTATTTGTTTTTTGTCTCTGCAACTTTATATTGTGTTCTAGCAATGTTAATTATAAAGCAAATTTCTAGAGTGAATTCTGTTTTCCTAATTCTTCATTACAAAATTAGAGATATGCTATCATGGTAAAGAAAAATATCTTCAGCTAGACATTGGATGAGGAGAAGTTAGGGTCATGGCTGACACTTTGCAAGCAACGGGAAGAAAGAGCTTCTAGGAAAACATGGATTGATGGAGCCTTTTAAAAGTGTGTGGAAGGGTATTTGTGTTTCAGTCCTCAGTTTACTCGGATGATGATGCTTAGGTTAGTCTTACTTATCTTTTCATAATACATTTTCCTGTACTTAGGTGGTTTTGCAAAGGTCAAACTTGCCTGCCATATCCTCACTGGAGAAATGGTCGCTATAAAAATCATGGATAAAAATGCACTAGGGGTAAGTTTAAAATTATTTTTTAAATATTTATAGATCAGTATTGTGAATTAAAACCTAACTTTGCTCTAGTGTTGTAGTTACTGCTCTTTCATTATAGTATTTCTATAGCCTTTTTTTTTTTAATTGCCAGTTATGTATAGATTTATGGCTTTAAGAAGGAATCTGGGGGCAGGGGTTACTTTGTCCTTGATTTTAATGCAGGGCAGTGGCACATAGTTGAAGTCTGTAGGACTCTTTTTTCTGCAGTTGTTTCATAGTCTTCTAAGTGTTCTAGGTATTAGTATCTCCCTTCTTTATCCTCTCATGATACACTTACTAAATGTCACTCTATTTTATAGGCTAGATAGGTAGGTCGATCTTATGTCCCAGAATTTTATTCATGGTGACCTTAGAAGTTGTTGAATGAAAGCCTCTTCCTGATCAGCCTCTTTTTTCCTCTACATGAATGCCTCCAGAGTTGAGCTGCTCCTCATCTCCTATAGCAGCCCCTTCAATTTGTGGCCTCAGCTGTAATGTATGCAGTTTTTTCTTTTTTCTTTTTAGGGAAGACTTGTCTCCATTGATGGTCTTTTTGGGCCTTTTATACCCTTTCCAGTGTTCGAAGTCACCCTGAGTTCTCTTTTTTCCTAGTTCTTTCTACCATCCCTCGTGTGGTTTGGCGTCTGTGCTTTTCTTTGTTCTGGTTTCCCACTGAGAATTCACTAGTCTCTCAGTATGTGTCTGTGGCTGTTTCTTTTTTTAAAGATAAATGAAAAAAATTAAAAAGATCTTTTCCTCTAACCAAAAATCTCTTAAGTGCTGAAGAAAAATTTTTTTTCCTTCTGGATTGAATTAACATTATAATTATTAGTAGTATACCATTGAATAAAACAACACAAACATTTCATAATGTTGATAATTATCAAACATAAAAAATAATTTACTGAAAATCCTTTTTTAAATTAGACGCATTGGACTCTTTTGGTCTCCCTTGTTGCTGGAAGGAGACAGAGTTTAATGTCAATTGTTACCTTGTTTTTTATTTTTAAGAATGTAAGTGCTGATTACATACATAAATAAGTCAAAAGGAGTGTAAGGAGTTTGTTATAGAAATGTCACTCAATTCTTTGACCTTCTTCAAAAATGTATGCCTAAATCACACAGTGCCCTATATTAGAAATTATTTTTAATAATCAACTGACAATTCAAGCTCTCTTTCAATATTTTTGTTTTTCAGTGCTCAATATTGTATTTAACTAATAAAAAGGCATTAAAAACCATTTTCTCATGAGCATTTAAACTTTGATTACAAATTTGATTAATTTCCTTAATTAATTTAAACTTGTTACAACTTTAGTATGACTTATTCGCTTGAATACTTCAAACACTTAAGTAGCAAACAAAATGTGAACTGTAATTACAAAATGTGTTACCACACTGATACTCAAAATTTATTCTAACGCATCAGTATTATGACATTAATTCATTATTTCAGAACTTGTTTTTTTATTTTCTAATGTTACTATGCTTACTTTAGTTTCTAGGATTTTAATAATATTTTGAACTTACAGAGTTGTGGTCATCAGATTCCCACTCTCCCCCAAAAAAGAATTAAAAAGATTATCACATCAGAATAGTCAAAGTTACGATTGATTCTTGGTCAAGACCTGATATCTGGTTGCATGGTCCTAGACAATTGGATCTTAAGCCAGTGATTATTAGAGTGAGTCCCTTGTTATGATCGAGTTTTACTTGTTACTTCATGGATATTTAGATTTCTGTATTTAATATGGACTTTAAAATTTTTTAATCTTGGCTTATCCTCCCACCAACCAACTTTTTATTTTGTTTAATTAATTTTTTTCCAAGTTTTTATGTAAAAAATTTCAAGCCCCTAGAAAAGTTGGAAGACTGAGACAATGAATACTGGCAGACCTTTCACCTACACTCACTGATTTTTAGTTCAGCTTACTTCTTAGGAGCACTGCTAAGACAGAAAGTGTAGCCTAGGCGTGCCCAGAGGAGTGTTCCTGTCATTGTCCTTTTTTGGAATGCTAACCTTCTACAGGAGTCTGAGATTTTTAGTTTTTCTGCATGTTGTACTATTGACCCACGTCAAACTTGTCTTTCATAAAACCCTCAGGCCTTTTTTCATGTACATAAAAATAAGTTTTGTTATGATATTTTTTTGAATTGTTGAACAATTTGTTTTGAGGCTGTTGATCACTTTTCTACTCACTATTGAAGCTGCTGATGTTGGTGCTTGGAACATTTCCGAAATTGATTGACTGCTCACTCCACGTAATGTTTTGTCACAGAGCGATTTGCCCCGCGTCAAAACGGAGATCGATGCCTTGAAGAACCTGAGACATCAGCATGTATGTCAACTCTACCATGTGCTAGAGACAGCGGACAAAATATTCATGGTTCTTGAGGTTAGTAGTATGTTCCAGAGACCTGAAAGTATTTGGTCACTGTCTTAGTCTGCTTGGGCTGCTATAGCAAACACCACAGACTGGGTAGCTTATGAACAGCAGCAATTTATTTCTCACAGTTCTGGAGGCTGGAAGTCCAAGATCAAGTCACCAGCATGGTCAGGAGAGGGCCCTCTTCCTGGTTCATAGCTGGCTGTGTCCTCACGTGGTGTAAGGGACAAGAGATCTCTCTGGCGCCTCTTTTATAAGAGCACTAATTCCATTTACGAGCCTTCTGCCCTCATGTCTTAATCACTCCCCAAAGGCGCCACCTCCTAATTCTGTCATCTTTGGGGGTTAGGACTTTAACATATAAATTTTGGGGGGACACAAACATAGCAGTCACTTTATCAACAGTTAAGAGAGAAGTACGTTTCACCTGAAATATTAGAATAAATGTTTAGTAGCTTACCTGTTTGAGTTCTGTCTGTAACAATTTAGATCAAGTAGACATATATAATAAACCGGAGATTCACTGTGAACATTCTCTTTCTAATACACTCCTAATGGGGTGGTGTAGTTTAGTGGATAACATATGTTAGAATTTGTTCCTAGAGGGAAGAATCTATTTTGGTTTTAGATGGGGTATTAGTCTAGGGCTGTCATAACAAATTGCCACAAACTTGGTGGCTTAAAACAACAGAAATTTATTGTCACACCATTCTGGAGGAGCCTGAATTCAAGGTGTGAGCAGGTTGGTTCCTTCTACAGAATCTGTTCATGCCCCTTTCCTACTTTCTGGGGGTTTCTGGCAATCCTTGGTGTTCCTTCGTTTATAGACGCACCACTCCAGTCTCTGCCTCTGTCTTCAAATGATGTTTTCTTCTCTGTGTGTCTGTGTCTTTGTCCAAATTTCCCTCTTCATATAAGGACACAAGTCATTGGATTAGGGCCCACACTAATCTACAAAGACCTGATTTACAAATAGAGTCATGTTCACCGGTACTGGGTGTTAGGACTGGAACATATCTTTTTGGGGGACTCAGTTCCACCCACAGCCTATAGTTAGCCTTCAGTGTATGTGTTATGCCAACCAAACTCTTTCAAGTTTTAACCTGCCCTTTTTGGCTTGGAAAGTGAAGTCTTTAGAACTTGCATCCTTCATCTCGTTTCGTTTTCCTTGGTCTCATCCAAATAATTTTTTTTTTTTATTGCAGTAACATTGGTTTATAACATTGTATAAATTTCAAGTGTACATCATTATACTTCTGTTTCTGCATAGATTACGTCATGTTCACCACCCAAAGACTGATTACAATCCATCACCACACACGTGTCTAATCATCCCTTTCGCCTTCCTCCCTCCCTCCTTCCCCTCTAGTAACCACCAATCCAATCTCTGTCTCTATATGTTTGTTTGTTGTTGTTTTTATCTTCTGCTTATGAGTGAGATAATATGGTATTTGACCTTCCTCTGACTCATTTCACTTAGCATGATACCCTCAAAGTCTTTCCATGTTGTCACAAATGGCTGGATTTCATTGTTTCTCATGGCTGAGTTCCATTGTGTATATACCAAATAATTTCTAACTGCACATCATTTTCACAGATTAGCACATTTTAAAATTCATAATGCTGAAAGTTTTGGACCTAGAACCATTTTCTCTTTATTATGTTGTAGATACGCCCACGTGGTCTACAGTGGTGATTTTAAAACCTTTTTTTTAGGTTAGTCTCTGTCCAAATTAAATTCTTAAAACAAAACAACAAAAAACCATGAACTTAGGACAAAATTTAAAAATTACAAGAGTATGTATTAAAAAGTGATGTTCTCACAGCAACTAGAAGGGTGTGCAGCTATGACATACAACTATCTACTGGGGCTTTGGGGGAAAAATAAATAAATAAATAAAATTATAAAATAAATAAATAAATAAAAAGTGATGTTCTCTCTCCCGTTATTCCAGTCATCCAGTTCCCTTCTCCTGAGTCAGTCACTTACTTCTCTTGTGTTTCCTATAGATGTGCCATGTATTTACAAATACCTGCATATATTTTATATGTATATATGCATGTGTTTACATACACGCATGTATGTATGTGGTTTTTTTTGTGTGTGTGTGAAGAAGATTAGCCCTGAGCTAACATCTGTTGCCAGTCCTCCTCTTTTTGCTAAGGAAGATTGGCCCAGGGCTAACATGTTCCTCTACTTTATATGTGGGACGCCTGCCATAGTATGGCTTGATAAGCAGTGCATAAGTCCACGCCTGGGATCTGAACCCACAAACCCCAGGCTGCCAAAGCAGAGCATGCAAACTTAACCACTATGCCACTGGGCCAGCTGCTGTATGTGTTTTTTATATATACAAATAATATAAATATGTATGTGTAGTTTGTTGTTTTCTGTCACACAAATTGTCACATATTATAATATTATTCTATACTTTGGTTTTTTTTTTCCCCGCTTAACATTTTAGCTTGGAGACCATCTAGGTGCATTCATAGAGACTTTAGATGTTTTTGTTCTCTTTATTTTATATTTCTTTATTTGAAAATATAAAGTAGCCTGTTTTCTTTATGTGAATCTTATTGGATAGCATTTAAAAAATTGACGATTGAGGTGTAATTTACATATGATAAAATGCACACATTGGGTATATACAGTTTGACAAAGGTGTGCACCCACGTACTTCCCACCCCAGTCGAGGTGTAAAACATTTCCAGCACCCCAGGAAGTTTTCTCCTGACCCTTTGAAGTTAATCCCTGTAACACCACCCACCCACTGCCTTTCTCAGCCCTGGTCTGATTTCTGTCACCATAGGTTAGTTTTAACTGTTCTATATCAGTTTACAGTGGATGTAAACTGTTCCACTGTACTTGATGTAAATAGAATCATACAGTCAGTATTCTTTTGTTTTTAGCCTCTTCTGTTCAGCTTAATGCTTTTGCAAGTCACCGTATCAACCTATGCTCCTTTACATCTTGCTTTTTTCACTTAATACTGGGTATTGTTTTATATCAGTTCATAAAGAGCTTCCTCTTTTTTTATGGCTACATAGAATTCCATTTTACGGCTGTGTCATAATTTATATATGTGAGCATTTGGGTTGTTTCCTGTCTTTTTGCTCCTGCAAACAATGCTGCTGCGGTGAATGACCTTGAACGTGCGTTGCTTTTGATATGAGAGTGTCTGTAGGAACAGTTCCTCAGTGTGGAACTATGAGGTCAAATGCCATATACACATATAAATATAATTGATATTGCTAAAATGAAACGAAATCTTAAATGGAAACCCCCGTTTACGGAAAGGTGGAGCTGCTCTGGAGAAGAAGGGATGGAGAGCCTCGGGCTTCGCGCTCTGGCCTCCATTCTCCTGCAGCCTCCAAGGATCCTCTGTAGAACCGGGCTCCTTCTGGTACAGACTGAAAATCACTGGTCTTCGGGATGAAGGAGCAATAATGCTGCTGGGTTTTTTGTGTCAGGTAACTACACTAAATGTGAGTGCATTAGGATGAGAAGGGGTTTTAGTGCTTTGCTATAAAATATAAAATCCTGAATGAGCTTAAAAATCACGGTGGTAGTTGGTTGTACTTCTACCTACTGGTAATAAAACTGCTTGAGACCAAGAGCTGTTGTTCTCTTTCCCGGAATCACTGTTGCCTTATTGGATCCTGAGAGTGTATTTCTGAACATGCCTCACTCAGTTCCCTTGCCTGTAAGTGGAATTAATAATATCGCTGAGTTAAGTATAATGTTTTGTTTTACACTCCTCGGAAGTGAGTTCTGTAAGTAGTGACACTATCTGTGTGGCTGTGTTGCTGTTGAAGTACTGCCCTGGAGGAGAGCTGTTTGACTACATCATCTCCCAGGATCGCCTGTCGGAGGAGGAGACCCGAGTCGTCTTCCGGCAGATAGTGGCTGCGGTTGCTTACGTACACAGCCAGGGCTATGCTCACAGGGACCTCAAACCAGTAAGTGACTGCATCACAGTTAGATGCTCACCCCAGAGTTCAACCTCATTTACCTGTTTTCACTAAGTTTCTAAATGTTCTTTCTGTTTAGAATCTGTCTTGGCTTTGCTTCTTTTTCTTTGTTCCACTCATCATGTATCACTTTTTTTTTCCTCCTTTACTTTTGACTTCTGGTGGGCTTCTCTGGATGAACTTATTGGCATTCTATTCATCTACCAATTATGTGTGATATTATAAGTGTCCTTGTAATCAGCTGTGGCCTATAAACCTCAGGATTTGATCTCTAGGAAAGAAGAGTTTTGAGTATTTTCTTCAAGAATATTGTCATTGAGTGTTTCCATTCAATACTCTTAAGAATTAAAAAGAGTGAGGACAGTCTAAGGGACCTCTGGGACAACATCAAGTGCACTAACATCCGTGTTATAGGTGTCTTGGAAGGAGAAGAGAGAGACAAGGGGGCAGAGAATCTATTTCAAGAAATAATAGATGAAAACTTCCCTAACCTAAGGAA